CAAATGGTAGACGTAAAAAACTTAGCAGTTTCCTTGTTTAAAGGATATGAGTGTATCCCAGCAGTGCAGTGTAAAAGAAGAAACCTGTGAGGCACAGAGAATCCTGTTTAAGTGGTTTGGCTTATTGAGAGTCTGCAGCAGAGCTGGAAGTTGAATCCCTGAGTCCTACCTTTAAAGCGGAAGCTGAGTACAGATGGTTCCTTAGCACCTCCAAGAGAGCATATCCCCCAGCCACATCTGCTAAGCACTTTCTGGTGATGACTCATTGTTTATTTCTCCAAACATGGTGTCTATTGTAGAAAGAAGCTGTGTCTATCATTTTAGTCCTTCCCTCCTCAAAATTTATCTGCTGTCAAGACTGACTGTAAGCAGTGGAGCTAATGAGCAGTACCAGTACCCAGGTGACCAGCCTTTAGCTTCAAACATGTGCAGAACCCTTGCAAGTCTGCAGTTTTCTTAAAAAGTTTTCAGGCTGTGGATTAATAACTTGGTCTGTAGGATTGTACCGGGACTGTGACAGATGGAGGGCCTGTCACCCAGCATGTGGTAAATTGCATCTATCTGGCTCTGGTCAAAGTTGGTTTGAAAGGCTCTGAGATTTTCTGTGGACAAAAGTTTCTTTGTTATATAACAGATTGTGAAATATCTGGAAGGACAGTTCTGTTTTATCTTACTCTGCTGGTAGCTTTAGAAGACTAGATCTGTGTAAAAATGTATGTCTCACTCAAAACAAAGTTCAGTCTGAGTGAGGATGTTGTTATGGGGATCATAACCGTGGTATCTGTTTAAAAGCATTTAATTATTATGTTCCTAAAGGATAAGAACATAAGATATGGCAGAACATCTCAGAGGTCAGTAATACCTGTTTTAGGGCAATGTACAAAAGGTACACAAAATCTGCCTTTAGAGTAAATTTAAATATAAGCCCCAATCAATAACAGATTCTTTTCCCTAGAGCTTTTACTGGCTAGTAGTTCAGTATTACAGCTGCTTTTTCATAAAAAGAAATTGAAATGAAATGCAATTCAGTGTTTTTCAGAAATATTTTTAATATCCCTGTAAAACAGAAAAAACTTCTGTCAAACAGCTGCAAAGATGATGCATAAATATGGAGGAACAAACAACACTACAAAGATTGTCTCTTAAATCCATAAGGCTTGTTCTAAACCACAGAAAAACACCTTTGCATAAAGTACAGGAATATTTTCACTGAGGAGCTTTTTAAAGTTTTTGTGGTACAAAAAGTGAATTATGCATTCATGTGCAGTGTAGTGCATTCATTGCATAGTGGTACATGCGCAGTAATTAAAATCAAAGTGAAAGGCCAAATAAATGAAGTTTACAAAGCTGTGAACAAAAATTTGGCTGATGACACTTGACAAAACTGTACAAATAGTCCTTTTTATGCAACACAAATATAGTAAATGTGGAATGTATAGAGTAATGCTTTTGGAAAGGCTCAAATTCAATGAATTTAAGACAAAAAACTGAATTCTGTTTATGTTTATACCAATGTAAGTCCAGGGTTACTTCACTGATTTAGAGTTACTCTGGATCCCTATCAATATATTTGAAATCAACATCTGGTTCACATAATTAATTTTATTTCTATCTTTTCCTGACTTCCAGGAGACTAGCTGAGACCCGAAAGTAAAAATGACATTAGCCTTAATTATAATTGCATTACAGTGACTTCTTCTAAAAGTTGTACTTTTATAATGCATTTAATCCCCCCTCCTTTCTGAACCATAAACCTCTCATTTGTAACGAAAATAAACGCTATTTTATTGTCTCATTTCTACTGCAGTTTTATATTAAAATGCATCTTAATATTCCACTTTCCTGAAATCAAAGAAGGTTTAAAAATATATACAATTCACTTGAATAAATGCCGTTATAATTTACTGTGTTTAAAAGTTACTCTTCCAATGCACATCTAATAACTTCATTTCCATATATATCACCTTCTACATAAAGGGCTTAATCAGTACATCAGCAGCAAACAAATGACGACGGAAAATGTGGGGCTACTGCTGAATGAGGTGGGTGCCCTGCTGATGCAGTGTACAGAGAAGCCAGAGTTACTGAAAGCCTTCTTCGCTTCAGACTTCAGTGCTAAGGCCGGCCCTCAGGCATCCCAGGCCCTGGAGGTAAGAGAGGAATTCTGGAGAAAGGAAGACCTTCCCTTGGATGAGGAGGATTGGGTGAGAGATCATTTAAGCAATCTGGATGCCCACAGATCCATGGCCCCCAATGGAATGCACCCACGAGTGCTGAGGGAGCTGGCAGATGTCATTGCTGAGCCACTCTCCATCATCTTTGAAAGGTCCTGCAGGACAGGAGAGATGCCCGAGGACTGGAGGAAAGACACTGTCTCTCCAGTCTTCAAAAAGGGCAAGAAAGAGGACCCAGGGAACTACAGGCCAGTCAGCCTCACCTCCATCCCTGGAAAGGTAATGGAACAGCTCATTCTGGATGTCATCTTGTCCTGGGTTTGGCCAGGACAGTGTTAATTTTCACTGGACTCCAGGAAAGGGGCACAGCCGGGGGGTGGGGGCTGACCCCACCTGGCCAAACAGAGCCCGGTATTCCATACCATGTGACGTCACGCTGGGTTCCG